GCTGCAATGCAGGTATCTCCAGGAGGGAAGCTCCCAGGCATACCCCAAGGCAACCTTGGTGTTGCTGTATCTCCTACCAGCATTTCATACAGACAAGAGCACAAACAGTCCACCACCCAAAAGCAAGAATGAAGTGGCACAGCCACTGAAACTATCAGCTTAAACCCAAGACCTCTGATGGCAAATCACCCACATCACCCACCTCTCCCCATATGCCAGCTCTGAGAATAAACAGTGGGGCAGGTCCCCTCAAAGCCTCTGTCCCTGCAGCGTTAGCTAGTCCTTCAGCCAGAGTTAGCACAATAGGTTACTTAAATGACCATGATGCTGTCACTAAGGCAATCCAAGAAGCTCGGCAGATGAAGGAGCAACTTCGGCGGGAACAACAGGTGCTTGATGGGAAGGTGGCTGTTGTGAATAGTCTAGGTCTCAATAACTGCCGGACTGAAAAGGAAAAAACGACACTGGAGAGTCTGACGCAGCAACTGGCAGTTAAACAGAATGAAGAAGGAAATTTTAGCCATGCAATGATGGATTTCAATATGAGTGGAGATTCTGATGGAAGTGCTGGAGTCTCAGAGTCAAGAATTTATAGGGAATCCAGGGGACGTGGTAGCAATAAACCCCACATAAAGCGTCCGATGAATGCCTTAATGGTGTGGGCTAAAGATGAACGAAGGAAAATCCTTCAAGCCTTTCCTGACATGCACAACTCCAACATCAGCAAGATATTGGGATCTCGCTGGAAAGCTATGACAAATCTAGAGAAACAGCCATATTATGAGGAGCAAGCCCGCCTCAGCAAGCAGCACCTGGAGAAGTACCCCGACTACAAGTACAAGCCCAGGCTGAAGCGCACCTGCCTGGTGGACGGCAAGAAGCTGCGCATGGGCGAGTACAAGGCGATCATGCGGAACAGGCGGCAGGAGATGCGGCAGTACTTCAACGTCGTGTACGGACTCCTCCGTCGCTTCTTCCCGGGGAAACACTTCCTGTTATACTTAATAGCATGTGAAACGTGTTTGCTTACTTGCAAAGTGGCTTTTGAAAAAGAACCTGAATTCTGTATT